ATCCCTGGGATGAATCCCACTTGATTGTGGTGAATAATTTTACGTATGTGTTGCTGTATTCTGTTTGCTAGTATTTTATTGAGGATTTTTGCATCTATATTCATCAAGGATATTGGCCTGTAGTTTTCTTTTTTGTTATATCTTTACCTTGTTTTGGTATCAGGATGATGTTTGTTTTTGATTTTAACTCTAAAATAACTAGAAATTAAGTTTACTTTCTTAATGTTGGAATTTTGTTTAACACAGGCAATTAAATGTAAGTTGGCCTATATTGAACCATGTAAAATGACAATGCAGTGGTCCAAAAAAGCTACGGAAAAATTTGAAGAAAAGACTCAAGATAAATTCGTGATATGTTCAGTTATTAGTAAGTTATTTCCATTTTTATTTCTTAAATAAGCACATTATGATAACATTTGTCAAATCTTAGAATAAATTCAATGTGCAGTCAGTAATAGTTGTGAGAGAAAACGTTTATTGAGAATTAGGAACAGTGGAATTATATCTTGTACAGACTCTAGAGTCTAAAGTCAGCACATGAAGCAGAAATTATTACCCTTAAAGATCAGTTCACTCTTGGCAGGATCGCTTGAAAGCCCTAAGGTCAGGAATCTGCTTCTTTCATTTGTTTGCATTTTTGCTAGGGCTGTGTCACTGTCCTTGGCACAGTGGATGCTAACATTTAATTTCCAGTAAAGTGAAGGGAGGTGGGACTGGTAAATAGCTTTTGTTTGTTGTTTGTTTTTGTTTCATTGGCTTAAGTGAATCCAACTGTAGGATCTTAGCATATTTTGAAAAAAGTTTTTCCTTATTTGGAACAGTTTGGATCTGAAACACAGGCTGACCACATCCCACAATTTTGTGACCCAAGTTATGAAAATCAAAAGTTTAATGAGGGCCAAGCAAGTTTAATGACAAAATCTGATCTGAATTGGCATGAAACTGTATATAGTCTTTGTCTCCTTTACAGTGAATATTCATACAGTTCACTCAAGATGGTAATGTGTGTTTGTGGGCTGCTGCTCCAGGCTCCCTTGGAGGGTATTGCAAAACATGAAGTATACATACTGTGTAGCTTTTCTCAATTTAAAGCATTCTGAATTATGTCTGGCCCTAAGGATTTTAGATAGAGGAATTAGGAATCTTTTTTTTTTTTTTTAAAGATGACCAGTAAGGGGATCTCAGCCCTTGGCTTGGTGTTGTCAGCACCATGTTCAGCCAGTGAGCAAACCGGCCATCCCTACATAGGATCCGAAACCGCGGCCTTGGTGTTATCAGCACCGCACTCTACCGAGTGAGCCACGGGCCGGCCCTGGAATCTTTTTTATCTGGTATTTTGGTCTGTTCCAAAGCTGTAATAAGCACTGGATGTGTTGGGCTTACTGAGTGAGCAGGACACACAAGGCCATGTTTCTTAGGGTTGATGCATAGGCCTTCTAAGGGTAATTTTTACTATATCTGTTTCCCCCACACACACACATGCTTTTATCACACTATCACACAACCATTAAATGAACCCAGCCATCAAAAGATTATTAGCCTATTTCTAGTAAGGAAACTGAAGCTTAGAGGTGAACTGCTCAAGGTCACATAGCCTAGAAATGATGATGTTTCTGTGATAATTTATTCACTTTGATACAAGAATTGTTCTGAAGAAATAAGCCAATTGAAGAAGAATATGAATATAGAAATTGCATCCTTAGTCTATAGAATTTTTATATTTCGTTTCTCTGATACGAACAATATATTAAGGGCCTTTTAGTCTGTAAGTAGCCTCCACTGATTTTGAGCCAACTTTAACCTAGATAACTCTGCTTCCCAAGTTCCTTTTGGCATTGTGTTCTGTTGGTTTTTTGCTCCCTTCTTGAATAGGCTCTGGTGGACAAACTCTCAAGACCTGACTCCCTGGGTTTCTTTTTTGATTTTTCTTCTTTCTTTCTTAATTAATTATTATGCTAATGACATCCAAACACTAGTCATACCGTAGTTATTAACCTAGATGATTTGATTTCAGGAGTGCCAGAAGGCCCTACCCAACCAAAACTGTCTTCCTCCATTCAACTGCACAGTGATAAGATTGGGAGTTCAAGACCTTTATAATAAAATGAACTACCACAGATGAGAGTGGGAGCCTCCCATTACTATATATTGTCACCTTATAAAGCAAAAGACATTTAAATTTAATTAGGAAGAGAGCGGAGAAGATGGTGAAGGTACACAGCACAGAGAATATTGGCTCAGTTGGAATAAAGGAACTATAAGCATATGAATTATGAAACCAGTGAACTAAAGGGAACATAAGAGATGGAAAATAGGGAGAAAGGTTTTTGAGGCCCAGCATTACATAGACTTTCCTTTCTAGATAATTTTATCTGGGCCACTGAAAAGTGGGCAGGAATTATTTTTCAACTCTTGTAAAAAGCTTTTAATATTTAGGGTGTAATGTAGGGTGTTACTGCTGGTAATGGTTATCTTTTTATTTAGAACCATTATCCTTACTAGCAGCTACCGGTGACTGTTGTGTAAAGGTGTAGGGATATACTAATCTCTGTGTGTCTTTCCTAAAGAAATTCCTCTGTCGTGTATTTAGATACTTACTGAGCAGGTTCCCTGTGCTGTGTACCATAAATAAGTAAATAGGCACTTGAGATATAAACTTTATCCTAAGTTAACTCCCAGTCGTAAAGGTGTAGGGATATACTAATCTCTGTGTGTCTTTCCTAAAGAAATTCCTCTGTCGTGTGTTTAGATACTTACTGAGCAGGTTCCCTGTGCTGTGTACCATAAATAAGTAAATAGGCACTTGAGATATAAACTTTATCCTAAGTTAACTCCCAGTTTAGTTTAAGAAATAGATCTGATAGACAGATAATCAGTTTATTTTCTAAAATAATTAAAAGTTAGATGGTTTGTCCTAAAAAACACAGGGACAGAAGAAAATTCTATTTAAGGTTATAGATTGAGTTTTTATTGTTTTTAACCTTTGCCATTCTTATAAAAGCTATAAACATTCACAAATAATCACTGGCCTGAATTAACTTTCATTCACTTTTGTCCTCCTGAAACTTGGTAGAATCTTATAAAACCATTTAAAAACACAACAGAACACTTCTTCAGTGAATATATGTTAATTTATGTTTTTTGAATCTAAATCTTTAAATTGCTTTTGGTTTATTAAGGAACAAACAGCACACTATAACCTAAAATAAAATGTTCTCTAATTTGCATATGCTCCAGATAGGAGTGACAATTCATTTATATCTGCAAAACACTACTTTTTTTCTTCCCCTGTGGCTGGTTCCTACAAAATACTACTTTAACTCCTAGAGAGAGACTGCGACATTTTCAGCAAGAAATCTCATGTATGTAAAATGAAAGAAATTGTTTACAATTTTTTTTAATTACCTCATTTAGTATGCTTTGCAGCATATTTATTTCTTTCTCCAAACTAGTCTTAATGGTTTTACAGAAATTCTGGAAGATAATGTGCTCTTGGTTGAGCTTTTTGATTCTCTTGGTGCTCCTGGAATGGTTCCTGTTAGTATTAATGACCAGCTAGTCAAAGAAGGCCTAGCATCTTATGAAGGAGGGTAAGTAGATGTGTAAGCTTTCATTTTTAATTCATATGTAACATTTTAATCACAAGGGAAACTGGCATATCATTCCCATTGGATATCTGCTTATGTCATAGACTTGGAATTTTCCCTGTTCCTGGGTCAGAAAAAATAGAGGGAAAATAACTGGAGTCATTAGTCTAATGCGGAGTAGAGTGGCTTTCCCCTCTATCCCTAAAGAACCCTGAAACCAAGAGAAAGGTTTCTAGGCATCATGGGTGCTTCTAAGAAAAGGAGATTAGCATCTTATTTCTGGGAGGAATGTCTGCTTAGGCGGCCCCTCATGCCTGTTTAAGGAGGGAATTGGGAAGGGAAATGGCAGGTTATAGAATAAAAGTTGTGTAGAGTAGCCCACATTCTTATTTGGAGAAAAGTGAATTTTCCTGGGTTCAGGTGGATACTTTGAAAGATAACCAGACTTAAATCACTGTGCTAATGCTCTCCCAGGACAGGCCAGTGGTTGAGGTAACCCCAGAAGCAGAAGGGCAGAGTTGTGATGAGGATGGGTGGGAGGGTTTGGAGATCAAGACAAAGAATTCTTCCACAATAAGGACTTGTGCAGTGGGGGTGGCCCCTGTGGGGTCTCCTGAAGAATTCCCGCATACAGCCCTCAAGAAAATCAGTATTTGTATAGCACGCACATGTAATGCCTGTCAGTGTAAGCACGAGAAACAGTGACACCCAGCAGAGGCCTGCAGTGACTCCTACTAATATCAATGGTCTGTGGTCATGCTTCCCCTACTTGCCCTAACACTGGAGGAGCTAGAAGCAGAAGGGGGAGGGCCTGTCCTTTTCTCACTATAAATCTCAAACGAGGGAGGGAAATAAATGAGAGTAAACATTTAAACTATATTGGACCAAATTTCTCTTTTCTTTTTAACATCAGGGTTATTGAGGTGTAACTTACATACAGTAAAGATTCACCCTTTTTAAGTGCACAGTTAAATAGATTTTGACAAACATATGGAGTCATATAACCATCACCACAGTCAAGATATAGAATATTTCCATCACCCCCAAAAGTTCTCTTGTGCCCCTTTGTAGGCAGTCCCCTTCCCTTACACACAGACCCTGGCAAACATTGATCTAATTTTTGTCTCTATAATTTTGAATTTCTCACAACTTCATATAAATGGAATCATATAATATATTGCCTTTTATGTCTGGCTTCATTCATTTAGCATACTGCTTTTGAGATTTCATCCATGCTGTTGCATAGATCAGTAATTTGTTTCTTTTTATTGCTGACCAGTATTCCATTGTATGGATGTTCCACAATTTTATACATTTGGGTCGGTTCCAGTTTTGGGTGATTTCATGAATAAAGTTATAGTAAACATTTGTACACAGGTCTTTGTATAGACATATGTGTTATTTTCTCTTGAGTAAATACATGACAGTGGGATTTCTGGGTTGTAAGGTAAGTTGTTTTTGTAAGAAACAGTCAAATGATGCTTTATGATGTTTTCTCTTTCAAAATACAATCAAAGATCAGAATAATTATTATGCGCTATTTATTAGTCATTAGTATGTTTTAATACATATAGAAGCTACTCACTGAATTAGATTTTTGTGTGAGCTCTGTTATCAGGGGACCAGTTTTTAATTTCTTATATTATCTAAGCTATGAAATTATTAAAGATTGGTGGTTACTTCCTATTGAAAAGGAGTAGGGAACTTTTCCTAAGTGCTTTTTATTTTTAATAGCAACAACATCCTGAACAAACAATGGGTCAAAGAAGAAATTAAAAGGGAAATCAAAAAATATCTTGGGGGCTGGCCCGGTGGCGCACTGCTGCAGTGTACCGCTTGGGAGCGCGGCGGCGCTCCCGCCGAGGGTTCGGATCCCACATACAGACCGGTTCCCGCTCACTGGCTGAGCGAGGGGCGGGCGCAGCACCGAGGGTTGCGATCCCGTTGCCGGTCCCGGTCTGGTACGGGCGCGACACTGAGGGTTGCGGTCCGTTGCCGGACACGAAAAAAGAGACAAAAAGGAAAAAAAAAAATATCTTGGGATAAACGAAAATGGAAACACAGTCTACCAAAATTTATGGGATGCAGCAAAAATTGTTCTAAGAGGGAAGTTTATAGCAATAAATGCCTACATTAAGAAAGAAGAGCTCAAGCAATCCAACTCTCCACCTTAAGGAACTAGAAAAAGAAGAACAAACTAAGCCTAAGTTAGTAGAACAAAGGAAATTATAAAGATCAGAGCAGAGATAAATGAAAGAGAGACTAGAAAAACAGAAAAGAGCAGAAAGAGTTTGTTTTTTAAAAAAGATAAGCAAAATTAATAAACTTTTAGCCATGCTAAGGAAAAAAACCCTCAAATTATAAATCAAAGAAGGGACATTACAACTGATACTACAAAAATGCAAAGGATCATGAGGCTACCATGAACAGTTACAGACCAACAGATTGGATAACCTAGAAGAAATGGATAAATTCCAAGAAACATAAAACCTACCAAGACTGAATAATGAAGAAATAGAAAATCTGAACAATAACAAGGAGTTTGAATCAGTAATAAAAGGTCTTCCATCAAAGAAAAGCCCAGGACTCAATGGCTTCACTGCTGAATTTTACCAAACATTTAAAGAAGTAATGTCATTCCTTCTCAAATTCTTCTAAAAATTTGAAGAAAAGGGAATACTGTCAAACTCATTTTACAAACCCAGCATTACCCTCATACCAGAGCCAGAAAAGGACACTAGAATAAAAGAAAATTACAGGCCAATATCCCTGATGAACATAGATGATGAACAAACTAGGAGTAAAAGAAAACTATCTCAACATAAAAGCCAAACATGAAAAACGCATAGCAAACATCATACTCAGTGGTGACTTTTCCTCTAACATTAGAATAAGGCAAGGATATCCACTTTCACCACTTATATTCAGCATAGTACTGGAAGTCCTAACCAGATCAGTTAGGCAAGAAAAAGAAATAGAAAGCACCCAACTTAAAAAGGAAGAAGTAAAATTTTCTCTGTTCACATGTGTTATGACCTTATATGTAGAAAACCTTAAAGGTTCCACAAACAATTGGAACTAATAAATGAGTTCAGCTATTTTGCAGGATACAAAGTCAACACACAAAAATCAGTTGCATTTCAGTACAATCTAAAAAGGAAATTAAGAAAACAGTTTAATGTATGGTAGCATCTAGAAGAATTAAATCCTTTAAGAATTAACCAAGGAGATGAAAGACTTGCACAATGAAAACTACAAAACATTTTTCAAAGACACTAAAGAGGATACAAATAAATGGAAAGACATACTACATTCATGGATTGGAAGGCTTGATATTTTGAAGATATCAGTACTACTAAAGGTGGTCTACAAATTAATGTAATACGTATCAGAATCTCAGTAACATTTTTTGCAGAAATAGACCTATTCTAAAATTCATGTGAAATATCAGGAGACCCCAAATAGCCAAAATAGTCCTGAAATAGAAGAACAACATGGAGAACCATTGCTTTGCCTCCCACAGGATGATGGAGATGCAAAAAGGATTACTCAAAGCCCATTTCCTCTGAGCAGTGAAAGACTCTGAAGGGGTTAATTTTCTGGACCCCTCAAGAGTGAAGCATTCCTTCCTTTGGAAATTGACCATGAATTGGGGTTCTCTACTCACATTTATTTTCCAGACAAGGAAGTTACAGAAAAAGAAAAAGGACATAGATGGTGTTACAGTTTAACAGTGGATGCTGGTAACATCAGTGAAACAAGCAAAGTGACATTCCATAATGCAATTTGCAAAAGGTTAAGTCAATCCACCAATAAAAGCTTGATCTTAGCAAATATTCTGTTTCCCTACAACAGCTTCCCAAGTATTTTACATATCAATCAAGTAACTTGCCTGTCCTTGAGCCAGCAACCTTGCTGTGTTACAATTCTATATATTTTTTTTTTTTTCCTTTTTGTCTTTTTTTGTGACCGGCAACGGATCACAACCCTCAGTGTTGCACCTGTACCGGACCGGGACC